GGAGAGTGCAACTGGGCTGTCATCCAGTGGTGTGGGTCGTGGAGAGTAACTGGGCTGTCATCCAGTATGACGGTGGCCTTAATGAACTAACAACAGGAAATAGACTTCATGTTGTAAACATTCATGTGGATGGACAGATGCTCATGGAGGGATACATTTTTAGTTTTTACTAATATGTACAGGGTGCAGAGGTTAGAGAAGGTGGGCCTGCCATCGGAAGGTCGCTGGTTCAACTCCTGGACCAACAACATCAAAATGTGGGTAGGAAAGTTGAAGCACCAACACCTGCCTCCACCCTCATCTGCTCCACTATGTGCCCTTGAGCCAAATCCTTAACCCCCACCATCATGCTAACCATGCTCCACACTGAGGGTTGTGGTAGCTCGGTGGTTGCATCAGTAAGGACATCAGGCGTAAAAACATTCACCAAGTCTTTGTGCGAGTTAGTTTGCTGTGGCGATCCCTGAAGCAGGGAGCAGCCAAAGAAGAAGAAAAATGTGTATAATGTCCTTGAGAACCTTTGGTATGATTCTCTGCTCATGTTTATTATTAAATATATTTGGAGTTTTGTCAGCCTTTTCATTAGATTTCATTTCTGTCAGTAATTGTGTTTTATTTCTTTCACTTCTTTCTGAACAGGAATGTTCACCTATGATGCCACCACAAAACTGTTCTGGTTTAATTCCTCCTCGCTGGAGAATGAGGCGCAGTACACACTTATTGGAATTGTCCTGGGGCTCGCCATTTATAACAACTGCATCCTGGACGTTCACTTCCCTATGGTTGTCTACAGGAAGCTCATGGGGAAAAAAGGAACCTTCTTGGACCTGTCAGACTCCCATCCAGTGTAGTAGCTTTCTCCTAATCTAATATGCTTTGAAGCACTTAAATTTAGTTCTACCATTAAAACCTCTGACATAGTAATAATGTCCCCATAATTGCTTTAAATTACAGTAACACATCACGTCTTTGTCCCATTACAGATTTTGTATCAAAGTCTGAAGGGGTTACTTGAGTATACCAGCGATGTTGAAAAGGACATGATGCTCACCTTCCAAATATCTCACACAGATCTTTTTGGAAACCCAATGTTGTATGATTTGAAGGAGGAAGGAGACCAGATCCCTGTTAACAAGGAGAACAGACAGGTGAGCTGGGTCAAATGCTGTGTTTAGTCTTCAGCTAGCCTGTGTTATATTAGCTTATAAAAATAATGTGGACAAAATTATTTTTATATGCCGGTACTAATAACATTTGCATAACCATTAAAAATACAAACTGGTTTAGGAGTATGCATTGTCAGGGAGTGAGACACAGGTGTGCAGGTCACTATGGTGACCCTAATGAGCCATCAGCAACAGTTTTAACATTGATCTGGCTTCTCTTTACACTTCCTTTATGATTTATACATCAAAATGTTGGTGTCTTGTCAGATTGTTACAAAAGTTCGTCACAAATCATAGTTTTTTATTTTTAGTTGTTGTTTTTTTAGTTTGTGTTTTGAAATTTAGGTTTGAAGTTGTATTGCGACTCTTCAAAATGTATTAATAAATGTTTTTTGTTTTTCTGAAGTTATACTCATTCATTAAGCTTGTGTGTTCAAAAAGGCAACAACAGTGAAATTAAAAATAAAATGACATTTGAAGGCCTTACATTTAAAATGTTTTCAAATATGGGTTGTAAAACCATTTTTAATAAAAAAAAAAACATTATTAATAACTATTATTTTGGTCATTGTGTATTTTCTATATAATCTGTTCAACCTTTTCAACATGCAACCTCAGGCATCTAAAGAAAGCAGAAAAGTACAGCAAATCTCCAATTTTTCTCTTGTATTGGTTCACTGAGATCTAAGTTTTCTACTTTTGTTAGCATGTTTTGTAATGCGGTTTCACCTTTGTGCTGTATGTGGGAGCACACCTGCTGTGTGGCCATTGTAGTTCTTATCATTTTATTTAAAAAATCAGAACTTATAAATTTCCATTTGAAAGAATCAACAGATTTAGCAAATGAAATTTGCAGCATTTGAAAGTTGGATGAACTTCAGTGATTAAAGAACCCCACTTGATGGCCTCATGCATGAGAAGGGACAACATCTGCACACCCAAAAAACTTTATTACTGTGGCTTTTGTTATATTGACTCAGTTCCACACTTATTTACTTTTTTTTTAAGTTCAATTCAATTCAGTTTTTTTATATAGTGCCAAATCACAACAAAGTTGTCTCAGGGCACTTTAAAGAAACTTTCACATACATAAAAGCCAATTAGTAAAGTTCTCTATCTAAGGAATTCTTCTGTTCTTCTAGTTCTTCTGTCTTTTTATTTGGATGTTATTTATTGTCCCTGGTTTCAAAATTTTCAAGATAAAAAATTCAAAAGTCTGTAACTACATAGCAGGGGCGATACTAGGATCTGACCTTTAGGGGGTTCTAGCCCCCAGCACTGAAATTGGCTCTTGATTTGAACAATGCACCCCATGGTGAGATTTGTAAGAAGTGCAAAACTGTGCTGACTAGGGGTTGAACGAGTAAATAATTTTTAAACTCGACATTAACATAATAAAACCCGAGTAGAACTCGAGTGTTTGATGACGTCATAGATCTCAAGATACAAAAATAAATAAATAAATAAAACCTCAAAAAAAGGTAATTATTTACAAAAAAAGACCAACAAAACATTGGGAGCGTATATTATGCTCCTACCATTTATCATACTGCAAATAAGTCACAGGAAAAACTAAACTATTAGTTATTATTATTAAACTGCAAACGTGAAGAAACATGCAGCATGTCAAAAACAAAACTTAAACCGAAACTGGTTCTGGTTCGGTGGATTGGACCCGGTGTTACACCATACTCTGTGACCTGCAACAGTGCAACACCGCCCCCTACGGTCATACAGTGGTCACATAATATGACGCCACTACGGATACTCGATGTTAACTTTTTAACCTCGATAGATGTCCTAGCAATCAATGTGTAGATTACTCGAGAACTCTGTTAATGCCCTAGTGCTGACAACCAAAACCAGCTGCTCAACCAGCTGGTTTTGGTTGTCAGCAGCAAAACTGGTTGATCCACTCTGAGAAGGTGATATTTATAAGACTGAGCTGAATACAGCACCTCAGACTGAGGAAGTCTTTCGGATGAAAGACGAAACTTTTCTACATTTTTTCTTTGTTTTGCTTTTTGAATGTCCAGAGGACCAGATTTAACTTTTTTTTTATTTTTCTACCTGGATTATTGAGCATGCATCAGGATAGCTTTAATCACCTTTAATTTAACTATTAACCTCTGACTGGAAAGCGTTCATAATGCAAAACCATGTTGTCAGAGGAAAAGGGGGCATTGCTCCTGCAGGTAAGGGGCGTTTGCCTTCGGGACAAATTGAGATCACCGATTGGTCATTTGCTGGCAAGCGTACTGGATTGATTGACAGGTGGAACTGAGGATCTGACTCATGCTAAAAAATCAGATTTTACCAGCCTGTTTAAGAGCGTCATCATTTATTCATTTTTACTTCCTTACAAAATCCTAATGATGTTTTATTTTTATTTTTCAGAGGTGCCGAGTTAAATTTTAGGGGTGCTTGAGCCCCCCCCCCTTTCCCCCAAAAAAAGGCTAAAATTGCTACTGCTACATAGTATAAATAGAGAACCGACAAGGTTTACTGCTTACCCTTTAGACTAATATGTGTATTTCACAACAACTAACAACATAAGTTCTTAGAGAAAAAAATATTGTTGCTTTATTTTACATACACAAAAAGAACCACACTCGACTGCAGGAGAAGATTTTCATCCAGTGTTTTACTTGCAAGAACTCATTTATGACGGATTACACATGGATGCGTAATGCATAGAACATGTCACAGATTGAGTGTTGAATAGTTTGCTGCAGATTTTCACACAGCAGCAGAATCCAGCGGGTGTTCTCTCAAAGCCAGACAGAAGGACAGACATGATCCATGGCCATCAGCTATTCGGCCTCCAGGCCAAGATAAGAGAATGTTTTGGGCATGTTCTCAAAGCAGGACTGAATAATGTTCTCAGCCTTATTATAATAAAAAATATTCATACCAAAAATTCTCAGTCAGTCAATCAGTGAAGAGAAAACATCTTTAAAAAAGTAACGAACATAGTTATTGTTTCCATCATGCTAGTACTCTCTGTAGGTTGGCTCAGTAATGAACACAGAAGAGACTAAATTAAAGAAACAATGCTTACATTTAAACAAATCCTTGTCTGTTTACAGGAGTTTGTGGATCTGTATGTGGAGTACATCCTGAACACGAGTGTGGAAAGACAATTCAAAGCCTTTAAGAAAGGATTCCTGATGGTCACAAATGAGTCGCCGCTGAAATATTTGTTCAGACCAGAGGAAGTGGAGCTGCTCATCTGTGGAAGCAGGGTGAGAAACACTGCTCAACCTGTAAACAGTTTTTGACAAAGAACAGAAACTTGTACAATAATTTAGTTGAACATATTTTTAAATGGTAAATGGACTGTACTTAAATAACGCCTTTCTATCTTATTTCAAGATACTCAAAGTGCTTTACACTACAATCTGTGTCCTCATTTACCCATTCATACAGCACTCTACTAGATCTCTATAAAGCTAATTGAACAAATCTTTCTAAAGAGACTAATCAGTGCTTTAGATCACATTCATACACTGATGGGACACACATCAGAGGCTATGAGGGGTTCAGTGTCTTGCCCAGGGACACTTCGACATGTGACTGCTGGTGGATTCGAACCCCCAACTCTCACATTGGAGGACGACTGCTCTAACCACTCAGCCACAGCCACCCGCAAACATATCAGAGTACAAAGAGAAGTTTTTCAGACTGTCTTTGTTTTGTTCAGATAATCTAAATTAATTCACAGTTTGGTCCCACCAACACAGAGAAACATAAAAGTTGATTAAGGTCACAAGTAGAAGAGGTTTAGAAGATTCTACAAATACAATCAAATCCAATCAAACTGACTTTTTTTAAAAACACATTTCACATAAAAAGAGTTGACCAAATTACTGCACACTAAACCCCAAAATAATAGCCACAAATAATTAATAACTGGTGATGGTGTCAACATCGGATATAAAAGGAGCATTAACTATACTGTATATTTAATTATTCATAGTCAAAATGGCAAATTCGCATTGAGTTTTGTTTATACAGTTTATTGTAAAAAATAAATAAATAAATAAATTATATATATATATATATATATATATATATATATATATATATATATATTAGTGCCAATTCACATTAAATAATTGTAATTTGACCTATTTCATTCGGTACAACTGACTAGCTTGCTAACCAACATGCTAATTCCTAAATAAATTACCTACTTAGGAAACAAACAGACTGAATTAATGATATGATAAAAATATATACAGGTATGTATATTTCTTAATGTAAAACTGATTAGCAACATATGTGACACAACAAATATATGTGAAGGAGACGTGTCCCCCTAACATTTAAAAAATATTTGTCCCCCCCCCCCCCACACACACACACACACACATTTACCATGAAATATTAGTTCACTCAGTACTGTTTCTGTTTTTTCTTTAATGAATCCATTTCACTTGATTTATAGGAGAATAAACAAACAAAAGTCCACTCCGGGTTTTCTTGGTTACTTACAGCAACTCTCCACACCGATTGCAGTGTTTGTTCACTTGACGAGGCAGGGGAGACACCTCTGTGTTGCATTTTAGCTTAGCGCCACATTAGTGTGGGCAGTTGTTGACCAGGGTAGGGTGGGGGGTTAGGATGTGTGAGAGAAAGGGAGCACTACAGCTGTAGCATCTTAGCTAGCATGTCTGTATTGCGCGTCGCTAGTTTAGCATTACGTTAGTGCCAGCAGTTGTCGACTGCGGGGGAGCATTGTGACATGCTCTCATAGTTATGGAATCAAGCGTTTACTTATGTAGGTAGATGTAGATGTTTAACAACTCGTTAAAATACACCAGAATGCAGGAAATGGCATCTACTTTATTCAAAAATTTCTGGGGGAGGACCCCCAGACCCTCCCACCAATCTGTCTCCTCACTCACATAATGAATGCTTCTAACACCAATGATATAACACAGGTCTTTTTTATCATCCATCCATTCATCCATTTTCTTCCGCTTATCAGGGGTCGGGTCGCGGGGGTAGCAGCCTAAGTAGGGAGGCCCAGACTTCCCTCTCCCCAGCCACTTGGGCCAGCTCCTCCGGGGGAATCCCGAGGTGTTCCCAGGCCAGCCAAGAACTATAGTCCCTCCAGCGTGTCCTGGGTCTTCCTCTGTGTCTCCTCCCGGCGGGACGTGCCCGGAACACCTCACCAGAAAGGCGTTCAGGAGGCATCCTAACCAGATGCCCAAGCCACCTCATCTGGCTCCTCTCGATGTGAAGAAGCAGCGGCTCTACTCTGAGTCCCTCCTGGATGACTGAGCTTCTCATCCTATCTCTAAGGGAGAGCCCAGACACCCTGCGGAGAAAACTCATTTCGGCTGCCTATATCCGTGATCTCGTTCTTTCGGTCACAACCCAAAGCTCATGACCATACATGAGGGTAGGAACGTAGATCGACCGGTAAATTGAGAGCTTCGCCTTTTGACTCATCTCTCTCTTTACCACGACAAACCGGTACCACGCCCGCTTCACTGCCGACGCTGCACCTATCCGCCTATCGATCTCCCGCTCCATTTTTCTCTCATTCGTGAACAAGACTCCAAGATACTTAAACTCCTCCACTTGGGGCAGGACCTCCTCCCTGACCCAGACAGGGCACTCTACTGTTTTCCAGCTCAAGACCATGGCCTCAGATTTGGAGGAACTGATCCTCATCCCGGCCGCATCTCACTCGGCTGCGAGCCACTCCAGTGAAAGCTGTAAATCACAACTTGATGAAGCCAATAGGACCACATCATCTGCAAAAAACAGAGAATCAATCCTAAGGCCACCAAAACGGATCCCCTCAACATCTTGGCTGCACCTAGAAATTCTGTCCTTAAAAGTTATGAACAGAATCGGTGACAAAGGGCAACCTTGGCGGAGTCCAACTCTCACTGGGAACGAGCCAGACTTACTGCCGGCAATGCAGACCAAGCTCTGACACCGTTCGTACAGGGAGTTAACAGCCCATATCAAAGGGCCTGGTACCCCATACTCCTAGAGTGCCCCTCACAGGGTTCCCCAAGGGACGTGGTCAAACGCCTTCTCCAAGTCCACAAAGCACATATAGACTGGTTGGGCAAACTCCCACACACCCTCCAAGACCCTGTTGAGAGTGTAGAGCTGGTTCAGTGTTCCACGACTAGGACGAAAACTGCACTGCTCCTACTGAATCCGAGGTTCGACTATGTGATGGACCATCCTCTCCAGAACTCCTGAATAGACCTTACCAGGGAGGCTTAAGAGTGTGATCTCCCTGTAGTTGGAGCACACTCTATGGTCCCCCTTTTTGAATAGGGGGACCAACACCCCAGTCTGCTAATCCAGGGGAACTTCCCCCGATGTCCATGCAATATTGTAGAGTCATGTAAGCTAACACAACCATACAACATCCAGAGCCTTAAGGAACTCCGAGCGAATCTCATCCACCCCTGGGGCCCTGCCACCGAGGAGGTTTTTAACCACCTCAGTGACCTCAGCACCAGAGATTGGAGAGCCCGACCCAAAGTCACCAGGCTCCGCTTCTTCAGTAGAAGACATGCTGGTGGGATTGAGGAGGCCTTTGAAGTATTCTGCCCACGGATCCATGACATCCCGAGTTGTTGTCAGCAGCAAACCACCTCCACTATAAATAGTGTTGGTAGCATATCGCTTTCCCCCCCTGAGACGCCAGACGGTGGACCAGATTTGCCTTGAAGCTGTACGGAAGTCATTCTCCATGGCCTCTCCAAACTCCTCCCATGCCCGAGTTTTTGCATCAGCGACCACCCGAGCCACATGCCGCTTGGACTGCCGGTACCCATCAGTTGCTTCTGGGGTCCCACAGTTCAAAAAGGCCCTATAGGACTCCTTCTTTAGCCTGACAGCATTCCTGATGGCCGGTGTCCACCACCGGGTTCGAGGGTTACCACCACGACAGGCACCAACAACCTTGCGGCCACAGCTTTGATAAGCCGCCTTGACAATAGAGGCATGGAACATGGCCCATTCGGACTCGATGTCCCCCACCTCCCCGGAACATGTTCAAAGCTCTCCCAGAGGTGGGAGTTAAAGTTCCATCTCACGGGAGACTCTGCCAGACGTTCCCAGCAGACCCTCGCAATATGTTTTGGTCTGCCAGGTCTGACCGGCATCCTCCCCCACCATCGGAGCCAACTCACCACCAGGTAGTGGTCAGTGGACCGCTCCGCCCCTCTCTTCACCCGAGTGTCCAAGACGTGGCTGCAGATCATGAGACGGCAACAAAGTCGGTCATCGAACTGAGGCCTAGGGTGTCCTGCTGCCAAGAGCACATATGGGCACCCTTATGCTTGAACATTGTGTTTGTTATGGACAATCCATGATGAGCACAGAAGTCCAATAACAGAACACCACTCGAGTTCAGATCGGGGGGGCGGGGGGTTCCTCCCAACCACACCCCTCCAGGTCTCACTGTCATTGTCCACATGAGCGTTGAAGTCCCCCAGCAGAACAAGGGAGTCCCCAGGAGGTGCACTCTCCAGTACCCCCTTCAAGGACTCCAAAAAGGGTGGGTAATATGAACTGCTGTTTTGCGCATAAGCACAAACAACAGTCAGAACCCGTTCCCCCACACGTAGGCAGAGGGAGGCTACCCTCTCGTCTTTTATCATCTGCTGGTGTGTTATGGTGCAAAACATTTAGTGATTGAAGGCTGGAAACCAAGTTAGATCATCATGACTTCGAGCTATCAAACAGAATTACATGAAAAACAGCTGTGATTTCACCATATAGCCACATGGGCTAGTTATTTCTTGGAAAACTGTTGTTACTCAATACAGTTGGCTGCTACATTTAGAAATGTAACCTGAAACAATATTATGAAAGACGGAAGCATTCCTGGGAAGAGAACACAGATGGGTTTTCAGGACATGGGCTCCTCTCAGACTGATCATCAACAGATGGTCAGGTACTGATCAAGAGGTGTTTATTGGACATTGTAATAGCAAGACTGTTCACACACTGACCTCATGGCTAGGCTATCACTGTCATTGGGACCAGTTCATAAAAACAACCTACCATGATACAGTGGTAGTGTTGTGTTGTGGTGACATGATTTTCTAACATATAGCCACATTGTGATGTGTTTCAAGAGAGTTGTGCAAGTGCAGCCATTTAAAGCTTGGTGAGACCATAAGAGACTGTCAGAAAATAGCAGCAAAGGTCTACTAAAAGCATAGCAGCGTCATGATGGCCTTCACACTGAAGGTCTTCCAAATTCCAACAGTACAAACACGTTTTAATAGGTCGTAGATATGGAGAGAATAGATGGGTTGTTGTCCATTGTGACAGAACTTAGTATTCTCAGTTTCTAAATAAACTAAAAGTGTCAATAAAAGGATTAGTGATGAAACTCACTATCAAACATGGCTGTCCCCCAAATTTGTTATTCAGATCAAACTCGTGGTTTGTTTATATTTTGCAAACACAATTGATGATCGATAAACTGATGAAAATTTCGGAACAAATTACATGTTATCGTCTAATTTTAGAAAACCGTGACATTTCTGTAAAATTGGTTGATTTTTCTCTTTTCATTTTGGCCAGTATTTTATTAATGATGTGCACTTTCTTTTTCATTTTATAGAAACTTGACTTTGAAGCACTCCAAAAGACAACAGACTATGATGGAGGTTATAACAAAGATAGTCAAATTATCAAGTAAGTCTACTGAGTTTTATCTTTTTTTACTGAGAGTCAGTTTGTGTACTGTAAACACATAATAGTCAGACCCCTAGTGGCAATAGTAGGCATTGCATCACTGGTCATGCAAGGTTTGGAAGTTTGTAAAAGAGAAATTATTTTCCTATATTTCTGAAAACAGGGATTTCTGGGAAATCGTTCACTCCTTTGGAGAAGAACAGAAAAGGCTGTTTCTTCAGTTCACTACTGGTACAGACAGAGCACCAGTTGGTGGTCTTGGCAAATTAAAGATGATCATCGCCAAGAACGGCTCTGACACAGACAGGTACGTCCACCCTGGAAATAGAGTGGAAAGATTTTTACTCTGCTTGTGTGTTTATATGTCAAAAACATCAAGAGTCTGAATTTTCTCTAGATGTTTAAACACTCTGGGTTCTTTTTGTTTGTTTGTTTTGCAGGCTTCCAACCTGTCATACCTGCTTTAATGCATTGCTGCTCCCCGAATACTCTTCTAAAGAAAAACTGAGGGAGAGACTCCTTAAGGCCATCACATATGCCAAAGGTTTTGGGATGCTGTGACAAATCCACTAAGGCAGTTTTCTGTCTTTATTGGTGATAAACTGGGATTAAGAAACAACACAAAAAGATGTGATAAAACAAAATGCTGTAATAACCCTGTGCCTAACCAGATGCTGCAGATTATTTAAGTCCACTCTTTGCCTTTCATACTGAGCCTTTCTCAATTTGTCACTTTCATAGATACTAAATATCCCAATAAGAGTTTAGAACAGCACATAAATATTAAATAATTTGTTTTTCATGTGATCTGCTTCTGAGCACAATTAATTAAATCATAAACGTGCATTAGTATGCAGCACATGTAGTATATTTATGAATGTAGTTTGACTCCTAATGCTGCTGAAGTCTTTAAAAAGTAGCAGTATCCAGTCCTCATTGGGCATAATGGTGCTCCTTGGCATTGTAGCTTCCCGAATACATTGAGTTGAAGCCTTTTATATTCCTCCTAATACAAGTAGCCCCACGACAAGCCAATAATATGTTTGAAGAAGTGTATTTTATTTGTGCTGTGCCTCACATATCAGAAATGAATATGGTTTGCTGTGAGTGTGATGTAGTTCTTTGGTTCCAGTAACTTGCTTGATTTTAGACTGTGCCTTCTGAGTGGCTGTTTCACTTCATGAAAAAAAAAAGGTTTCTTTGTTGGAGTGTTTACTAAAAAGGACTGGTTTCACACTTGTAAGAGGAATGTGCTAAATGTGCAATGTCTATAAATGTAAAAGAGACAGGATTTATTGTTTTATTTGGCCAATATCTCAGGTATTCAAAAAAAAAATACCCAGAATATGTGAAACTTTTGTAAGCCTGATATGCAAATTAAATAAAGGGGACAAATCTTTCAACTTTGTTGTAAATACCTGTCTCTGAGTAATTTCCATGTTCCTGACAGTATAAACAACACAGAACAAAGCCCCAGCTCCAATCAACGGCCATAAATAGATTGCGTTTTTAATATTTTTACATTATAGCATTTAAGGAAACACAAAACAACAAATGAGCTGAACATGCATCTACTAAACATAAAAAAATAAAACCCAAAGCCTAAAAGTTAAAGCCATATTTCAGCTATTTTGAAGTGGGGTCCAGCTAACAAGTTATGAAGTTTTAGGGTGCATTCACATCAGCCCTGTTTAGTCCGCTTTAATCGAACTCTAGCTCATTTTCCTAGAAAGTCCGGTTCGTTTAGGGAGGTGTGAACGCGCCATCGAACTCTGTCACGGAACAAAAAGGCTAACTCTGGCCCGGGCTAAAACCTAGGTCTCGGTCCGGTAGAAGCGAACTCCAGCGCGATTCACGTACAGTGTGAATGCAAACAGACCGGCCCCGCTCCGCAGGGTAAACAAACACGCATTTCTCTGACCTTATATGGAGCCGTCAGCTGTCTTGTGTGGAAAAACAATATTCTCCATGGTCTTCTGTTTCATCTTCTGCTCATGCTGAGTCCATTTTTGAAAAATGACAAAATATAACTCCTAAAACTGCTAAAACTTGATGCCACTTCGTTTTTATTTTTATTTACAGGAGAAGAAGAAGACGTGTCTTCAGAGGTTTTTGTGTCGTTTCTTTCAGTAGTTCTTGGTTCAGCGCCCCCACAGGCGAGGGGGGTAATAGGTTGGTTCAACAGGTTGACTCGACTGCACAGTGCAGTGTGAATGCAAACGCACCAGCTCAAATGTAAACAAAAGCTCATGAATATTGGTCCCAAACCGAGTCTACCGGACTATCTAGTGTGAAAACGACCTTATACATTTCCTCTTGTGAAGCTTTTTGAACGTTAAATTCCACTTTATTCTTCAAAATGTCTTCTTTTTTCCAGAGCCATTTAAAATAAAGAAGGAAGAAAGCCCAACAGGAAATGACCCTAAGCTGTACTGAAAGTGTTGCAGCTAGCTGCACTTGAATATATTGTATTTATGGATTTACCAGTAGATGTAAGCAGATATGCAGGTCCAACAAACAGTGTTTGCATGACTTACCAAAATTATTAAGACTGGACGTGCTTAAAGACAGCAGGAGTCTTGGTCTTGGCTGTGCTCAGACTAGCCATTAGCTCATGGGTCTTGTTAAGAGTCAGAACATTTCTCCAAGCTGAGGTAACTCAGAAAGCTACACCAGGTGAGACCAGTTTCTCACTGGGTTTGGAGTAGCTGCTGCTGCTGCTTCTTTCAGCTTTTCCCTCTTCAGGGGTTGCCATAGCAAGTCATCTTTCTCCAGCTCACTGTCACGTATTTACCCCTACCTTCCACAGTTTTGTTTTAGTTTTCATGTTTCAACCTAGGAATGCTTGTCACCCTTTCTCAGCTCATGTCTCCCTGCACTACACCTCCTCTGCTCAGTCACAATCAGCTCTAATCAGTTCCACCTGCTCTGCTCCCTTCATAAGCCCAGCTCCACTCTCACTCAGTGCCAGATTATTGAAAGCTTCTTGCCACTACACATCCAGTCTTCCTTAGTGATGAGAAAATAAAGCTTTTATGAAGCATTGAACCAGTTGGGCCAAATGTTTCCAAAAAAACAACAAAGTCCATGCTCAATAATTCAGGTATACAATCCAACATTTTTCAGTCAGGTCATCTGGACAGTTTCTTTTCTTGTGCTGAAACGTTTTGCCTTCGATCTAGAAGGCTTCACCAAAGGTGATTGAAGGCGACACGTTTCAGCGCAAGAAAAGAAACTGTCCAGATGACCTGACTGAAAAATGTTTGTTTCAAAAAAAGGTTAATTTGTTGAAGCTTCAGTTACATTTACCTCTTGTGGCATTTTACAATGCTGCTGTCAAATTAAGCATTATGATGTTGGTGGCACATACTGAAGAACTTCAGTGACTATAGTGATAAAGAAACTACTGTAATAAAAAACAGATTTTTTTTTTTAATTATTCAACTTTCTATGTTGTCTGGTTTGAAAATTTATTTATGCCTACATGTTTTTGAATAAAGATTGATAAATATGCATTGAAGAGATTTAATAAAAATGTTGCACTGGTATTGTGCTTGTGCAATTGTGGCAGAGTCTTTATCATTCTTAAAAATAACAATAAAATAATAAGTGTCTAATCGTAGAGGAGATATTGCCATGAGACAGTACTTCAGTTCAGTTGAACACACCCAACAGTGCACCTGTAGAAATAGACTAATGTAAATGAAAATTTAATTTGAGCCCATACTGATATACTGTATGATTATTAAAATCACATACATCTTTTTACTGTAATTATATTAAATACGTGGGTTAAATGGGTTAGATAATATCTTCACTGCTGAACATTACTATTACTTTTTTGACATTTAAATGCCGGAACCACTTTATCATGAGCAGAATGAAGTGTTCCCACATGTTAGAACGACCCCTTTTCCTGGCTGGCTCCATAATTACTCAATTTCAACTAAATCAACAACACAACAGCAAAAACTCCCAGCACTTTGCAAACATTTTAGAGCTGTTTTATAGTGTTGCGCGCTCTCAATTCAAAACTGTCTCAGCCTGTCATCTGTCAGAATCGAGACGAGACGGTGCCAGGGAATCAGCTGATTGGACCGCGAACCAGTCAAACGATTCATTACGACAACGAAACAGTTTGTTTTAGACGTCACATATCACGTGAATTCTTCCGCAACAAAACAGGCTCTGAAGCAGTGGTCCGATATAATTTTACTTCAGGGTTCGAAGCATGTTTTGAAGCTTTTGTTTCATAGTACCATCATTAGCGTTCCTGATTCTGACTCCTGACCACGAACCTCAGCCTTGTTTTCTTGACTCCTCGCCTTGTCCCTTTCTGGATTTGTCTGCTTCATCTGTCCACGGTATCGACCCTTTTCTTCTCCTCCTTCGACTAGGCCTACGGATCACGTCCTTGTACTGGTATCAGCTCTCTGATCTCCTGTTAACGACCCCTGCTAAGTTTTCTGGACCCTGCTTTTGGACTTGCCCTCCACGGTCCACACGCAGCACTCCGTTCTGCTCTCCTGCTGCAGCTCTTACTGCACAAGTGACGTCACATGGTTCAGCGCTTCTCCTGTTTTTGCCACACCACAGACTGAGAAGACTGGACTTCCACCGGGACCCAGACCTCCACCAGAAGCTGCTTTAAAAATTAACCTTTTAACACCATTGCTGAGTCTGGTGTTGTTGGCAGATACAAACAGAATCTTGTCACTCACTTTGTCCTCTGCATTGTCTGTCCTCACTCCAACTACCTCCATGTCCTCTCTAACTGCATCCATATATCCAGTGGCGCAAAAAGCGGGTATGCAGCGTATGCGACGCATAGGGGCGCTGCACTGCAGGGGGCGTCAAAACCCTCTGTAGAAAAAATGTTTTTCTAGTAGGCATTTTCTAAATGATCAATAACAGGGGAACAGCACTGATTAGGCGCCCCTCTGCTCCTTCACCTCCCCTCTGCTCCTTCACCTCCCCTCTGCTGCTTCACCTCCCCTCTGCTCCTTCACCTCCCCTCTGCTCCTTCACCTCCCCTCCTATCGCTCTCCCTTCCCACAGGTGGCTGTGAACCAGGGGCGCAACTACATATTTTTGAGGTGGATGCGAACACATCATCG